ATTCATTTACATTAGTTCTTATTTAATTATAAAGGTGTTTAAAACCACTATTTTAATTTTTAATACAGTTTTCGCCTCATTATATAGTTTAATAGTGTTCTGATTACAGTAGAATCTCTGTAAGTTGACCACCCAAGGGTCTGTAACAAACTGGTCAACATACTGAGGTGATCAACACAAAGAAGTGCCCTGATACATACACGTGGTGCATGTCTGGTCTGTGGAAATTAGGTCACTTAAGGAGGTGGTCAACTATGGAGGTTCTACTGTATTTGTGTTTTTTAAATAGTCTGTAATCTTGGATTTTATTTATTCTTTTAAATTATTATAATATTCAAACTTTCCAAAGAATTAGATTTTTGATTTATCATGGTTATTTTTCTCATTATTCTTTTACATAACAAATAATCTGGCAGCGTTTCCTCTGTATCAGAAATCACACCAGGTACAGGAGATAGTACTCAGAAATTTGCTCGTTTGCTGAGTGAGACACAAATGTGATCACATAATGAATTACAATTGCAATATATATTATGGACTAAAATCTCAGGGTGCCATGAGGCTTCTACACTTTACTAGAAGTGAAGTTACCTGCTATATATATATATTTTTTTTGAGACAGAGCCTATGAACTCTAAAATCTAAAGGACTCTCAATTCATATGAGGTTTGTAGTTTATGGCTCTCCTTGTAACAAATGTTTAAAATGTGTAAGCAGGCCGGGTGCGCTGGCTCACACCTGTAATCCTAGCACTTTGGGAGGCCAAGGTGGGTGGATTGCCTGAGTTCACAAGTTCAAGATCAGCCTGAACCAGAGCGAAACCTCTTCTCTAAAAATAGCTGGACATTGTGGCAGGCACCTGTAGTACCAGCTACTTGGGAGACTGAAGCAAGAGAATCACTTCTAGTGGTTCTCAACCTTTCTAATGCTGCAGCCCTTTAATATAGTTCCTGTGGGTTACAACCCATAGGTTGAGAACCGCTGGCTTAAACCCAAGAGTTTGAGGTTGCTGTGAGCTATGATGCCATGACACTCTACTGAGGGTGACAAAGTGAGCCTCTGTCTCAAATAAATAAATAAATAAATAAAGTACATACAAAGTGTGTAAGTAAATGCTGGTATTTTTTGGAGTAACCATTTTTATCAGCATAATATATACTTACTCATTTTTTTTTTTTTTTTTTTTTTGAGACAGAGCCTCAAGCTGTCACCCTGGGCAGAGTGCCGTGGCATTACAGCTCACAGCAACCTCCAACTCCTGGGCTCAAGCGAGTCTCCTGCCTCCGCCTCCCAAGTAGCTGGGACCACAGGCCCCCGCCACAACGCCTGGCTATTTTTTGGTTGCAGCCGTCATTGTTGTTTGGCGGACCTGGGCTGGGGATTCGAACCCGCCACCTTAGGTGTACGTGGCTGGCACCTTAGCCGGTTGAGCTATAGGCGCCGAGCCTACTTATTCATTTTTTAAAAGCACTAAGTATTAAGAGGCTTAGTGAAACAGCAGGCACCCACCATTCTATCTCTGCACACCCCATTCATTCCCCAGGGGAAGCCACTTCTACTTATTCAGCAGCTTCTTCTGGTAGTAGTTCCTGCTACATTTTCACCAGTGTTTACCTTTTTTTTTTTTGAGGCAGGGTCTTGCTCTGTTGCCCTGGCTAGGGTGTAGTGGTATCATCATAGGTCACAGCAACCTCAAAGTGCTGGGCTTAAGTGATCCTCCCACCTTGGCCTCCCAGGTCACTGGGACTACAGATGTGCACCCCCACATCTGGCTGATGTAGAGGCACGGTCTCACTGTATTTCCTGGGCTGGTCTCAAACTCCTGGCCTCCAGTGATCTTCTAGCCTTGTCTGGACTACAGGTGTGCGCCACAGAGCCCAGCTACAGTGTTCTTTTGCTATAATTTCTTGATCCATCCATTTTAGACAGCATCTTGTGACTTCTTCATTTGATAGACAATGGGTTCGTTTTCCTGAACCATCTTTCCTGTTCTTCAAGAACTTATAGTTAACTCACTTTAGTTAATCACTATAGTTCAATCACTTTTGTTAAATGTGTAGCTAGTGTTGTAGTGGTTAGGAGTGAGTACATGTGCCTTACTGTATAGTCAGGTAGTGAACTATGAATAATGGGTCCTTAAATCTTTTGTCATGTCCCTGGAATTTGTAATTTCCTCTTAAAATTTTTTTTTCTTGCTCTATTGATCATGTATGTATGTATGTATCATATATAATCTTAAAATTAATTCATTTTTATTTTATTTTGTATATATACTTACGTATATATAAGATATATAATGTACTAAGTATATCAGGTTTTCTATCAAATCATCTTTTTCTCTGGAGATGTCTCTTCCAGGGCTCACCCAACATGGACCAGTTGTTGTTAAGGCCGGCTGCCCATCACTCATCCCAGAATCTCCCTTTACTGCTCCTTTGTCAGATCTACCATTTCCTGTATCCTTGGTTTTCCTGTTCCTAGCATGATTTCTTCATTTTGCTAGATGAAATTCTCAAGCCGTTTTCAAATATATCATGGGAAATACATGTTCTTGAGAAATCTGATGCTGTCCTAAATCTCGTTTGTAGGCACAGAGGGAGCAGAAGAGTGAAGTTAACCAGATCCAGTCCTTCTGAGTGTGTGTGTGAGTGTGTGTCGGGGAATGGGGGAGGCAGATGGCAGGCTGCTCACCTCTGAGGGACCGTTCATACAGGCCCTTGACAGCCTGGGGAGGTAGGACCAGAGAACCAGCAGCCAGCAATGAGAGGTTGACGTCTGGATTTGTTTGCTGCCATTTCCAAAGAAGTCAAAGGGTTCTAGGTTGCATTAATTTTGAAAAATCACCTCCTGAACAAGGGAGGTGAAGAGCCTGCTTAACAATGGGAAGTTCACAGTTGGGTAATTTGTTCAGATCTGAGTATATATTGTTCATTTGTCCAATTCCTTATCCCTGAGTGTTCATTTCAAATACCACCTCTCACTTTCCTTGCCCATAATTCATGCATTGTTTGTCTGGGTTCTTGATCTCTGTTTGCTGATTTAACACATTCTATAATGTCTCTGTCCTCTACTGAAATGAGTTTCCAAGGATATTTGGACAAATCACTTGATAGTTGGAATTATGAACTGGAAATGGAGACGACAGTTCTCCTTTTTTACCACTGGGCTTTGTAAAGGTCAGACAAGTTGTATATGACAGTGCTTTACAAACAGCAAAGGGAAGATGGTATTTTCTCCTGTTTGTTAACGTAATCAATAACTACCTCAAATTAGCAAGCCAGTTAAGCAGCCGTTGTCCCTTACCGTCTGTGTGGCCTCATCCTACCCTGATGCGTCCCGAATTTCTTAGTGGGAACAGAACAGTTTCCTGTTATTCTCCAGCTTCTTTAGCAATAGAACCTTCCTTTCAGCTGATTCTTTCTCCTCTCCTCTCTGAAGTTCTTTTTTTTTTTTAACCATTTTTTTCCTCTCTGAAGTTCTTAAACTGTCACTGCAGTTGTGCAGTGGACTGTCTCGTGGCTGTATCCTCTGTGGCTCCGAAGGCTAAGGATGGAGCAATCAAGCAGATGACCCTGATGACCAGATATGGCCTGAGTCTGAGATTCTTAGACCCAGGTTTTAGGAACTACACTGCTTCCCCTTGTGCTGAGCAGTCCTTGTCCCAGGTCTCACTGTTGTGTAACGAGGCACTCGAAGTCTGGCCTACCTCTGATGGGCGTGGTGGGTCTGTTGGCCCAGGTCTTTGCATAGACCACTGAGGTCTCAACACCAAGCTTGGCCAAAGATGGGCCAGGCCTGTGATCGCTCTTCATTTGCATGCCTGGGCTTAGCCACTGACCTGTGGTCCTGGAGGTAGTGGCCCTGGCAACTAGACTAAGGGAGTCCCACCATCAACCTCATTCTGTGCCATGGTCAGCCCTCCCCACGCTCCTCCTTTCAAACCTGATCTCTCATCTAGACGCCTTCCCTGAAAGCCATGGTATTCAAGGAACCTTGTTGCCATTTTCTGACATTGGTCTTTGGCTTAGGACATTCAGGACAACCACAGCATAACATCAATTCTTGAAAACCAGGAGTTCTGGTTTCTATTCTTCTGTTCCAGAAGGCTTTATATGCACATTGAGCCACCCTTTCCCTGGTGACCAGCTTTAAATACCAGAGCTCTCAGTTGGAAAGTATCTTGCTTCTCTAATCTCTGGCTGTACAAACTTGCTCATCCTATATTTGCTTAACTAAGTCCCTTCTGTGACTACATATGGAAAAGAAGGTTGTCTTTTGATTAAAATACCACACCCAATATAAATATGATACAGTTGGATGATAGGAAGTTTGGGGGAGTTAGCCTAGATTATAGTGATGGCCTGGCTGTGTGTGCAGTATGTATGTGTGAATTGCATGGAAATTCCTGGTGCCTTCACCCATGAAGACATTGAGGAGAGAGCCAGTGGCTGTGGACTCAGGGAAAGACACCCAGTGTGGCTGTGAAGTTACACTTCAGGTGACCTTGAGCGGCTTGCTTTTCTCTGAGTACCTTGCTGTTACAGGGTCTCTGCACCCATGGAGATTGCTGCTATGCATGGGATTCTGACTTCATGTAGAAGAGCAGACTAGGCAGCTTTAGGGGATATCATCCAAGTGTAAGAGTCTACGAAAATGACAAGATCGAGGCAGTGAAACTTTCCGTCTCTGCACACAACCGTCTTTAATATCTTTTTTTTTAAACTTTTAAAAAATTGTTCACATACTTTATTTATTTATTTATTTTCTGTTTTTTGGCTGGGGCCAGGCTTGAACCTGCCACCTCTGGTATATGGTACTGGTGCCCTATTCCTTGAGCCACAGGCGCCACCCCGTCTTTAATATCGTGAGTTGTGCCCAGGATTTGGTGCACCGTAGATATACCATTTAGGACGTTTCCTTTCCCACAGTTAGTCCTCTCTCTTTGGCCTCTACTGGTTTATTCTTTCTCTTTCATATTCTATATTTTCATCTCATTCCAGCTTTTGAATAGAAAAGACAAGACCACCTTTGAGAAATTGGACTACCTGATGTCTAAAGAAGATAATTACAAGCGGACTCGGGAATATATTCGAAGCCTGAAGATGGTTCCCAGTATTCCCTATCTAGGTAGGAATTTGAATTGACTTATTATTTTTTAAGAAACCTACTCAGTGCCAAATAAGATGTTTTTACAGTTTTTATTTGAGAAATTTCCAGGAAGCAGCATGGGCCATGGATGAAGAGGTAACTGGTTGGCTTTTTGGATAGGAACAGGCTGTTATATGTCCCAGGAATGGGAACCTGAATGAGGGTGAGAGTGGAGAGATGTTTGCTACTTATTCAAGTAACCTGTGAACCCCAAGGCTCACAGATGTAGCCCAGATGGGTCACAGTAAGAGTGGTAAGACTCTTAACTGGTTCATGTACATCCTCCCTGACTGGGGGAACTCAGGAGCAGACTCTTTGTTCTGGTTCTCTGGGCATGATTAGTATATTTCTTAGGATTCATACAAACAAAATTATAGTAATGATTACTCATTTTTCTGATTAAAAAGTAATGAGTGTTCATTGTAAGGAACTAGGAAGAGAAGAAAGTTAATATCATTTATTTTTTCACCTGAAGGTATTTTGTTCCGTATCTTATCCATTTGGTTGTATCTAAAAAATGTATGTTTATTTTATCTTGAATACTCGGTGTTATTATCTACATTTCTGTACTATGACTCAGCCCCATCAGGTGGTTCTGTCAAACTTGGATCTGTTCTTACATATTGACCGTTTAAATCGTTTCTGTGTTTTTGCTATGAAATGTCATAGTGAACATCCTTATTGTAAAAACTTTCTTCATATAATTGATTATGACCTTGCAATAATTTCTTAAAAGTGTGACTACATCTTCAAAACTTATGCAAAAATGTATGCCTTTTCGTGTATATTTTTAAAATGTTCTTTCTTCAGAGAGGTTGTGTCAACTTATACTTCGTCAGAAGGGATAGAATTGCCTGTTTTTTATCACATGTACAAATACTATGTGTTTTCATAGTTTTTTTCTTTTTCTTTCATTTTTTGGTGGATTTTTTTTTTTTTTTTTTTGAGACAGAGCCTCAAGCTGTCCCCTGTGGCATCACAGCTCACAGCAACCTCCAACTCCTGGGCTCCAGTGAGTCTCCTGCCTCTGCCTCCCAAGTAGCTGGGACCACAGGCACCCGCCACAACACCTGGCCATTTTCTGGTTGCAGCCGTCATTGTTATTTGGGGGCCCAGGCTAGATTTGAACCCGCCACCTTAGTTGTATGTGGCTGGCACCTTAGGCATTTGAGCCCCAGGCGCCGAGCCTTGGTGGATGTTTTTAATGTAATAGCTATATAAAATATTTAATTGACAAGCAAAAGACAGTTAGGAAATAGTCATTCTTTACAAACACCAATGGGACATTAGCAAATTTGTGTGTCTTAGTACATCTAAAGATAATGGTAATATATTGTGAAAATGTGAAGTCTACTTTCACTGATCATAATAGCAATCTAGAATTTTTAAATGCCACAGAAATCCTTGTAAAATAATCAGAAAGTGAAACAAATATTGTTTCTATAACAAAAAACCATATAACAAATGGAATGATGAATTATTGGATCCAGGCTTTGAGCATCAATGGCTGACAACATTTAAAATGAAAAAGAGGTATTATATGCCTCCTAACCAGCAGACATAATGCCATCTGTAGACGCAAATCCAATCAAGTGGTGATTCTACCTGCCAACTTGGAGAAAATAGGGAAGAAAACATTTAACTGCACCATGAGTAAAAAATTAGCAAGATAAAATAATATAGAACACTTCACGAATTTGCGTGTCATCCTTGTGCAGGAGCCATGCTAATCTTCTCTGTATCATTCCAATTTTAGTGTATGTGCTGCCGAAGCAAGCACTCTTTCATTTTTTTATCTGCCAATTTCATAGATGAAAAATGCCTCTTGGCTCAGCACCCGTAGCACAGTGGTTATGGTTTCAGCCACATACACTGAGGCTGGAAGGTTTGAAGCCAGCCCAGGCCCGCTAAACAAAATGACAACTGTAACAAGAAATAGCCGGGTGTTGTGGCCGGCACATGTAGTCCCAGCTACTTGGGAAGCTGAGGCAAGAGAATGGTTTAAGCCCAAGAGATTGAAGTTGCTGTGAGGTATGACGCGACAGCACTCTACCGAGGGTGACATAGTGAGACTATCTCAAAAAAAAAAAAAAAAAAGCCTTTTGTAGTTTGGATTTAGGGATATGCTAATTTTATGGAAAAAAACTTTTAATTTTTATGACCTAAAATAATTTTAATAACAGGGGAAACTAAGGTTTTACATATAAATGACTACTGTTATTTGTAGGGGGTCTAGTGTAATTTTTTTTACGATCGTTGACAGCTTTTAAAATTTCTTCCATGAGCATTGTTGATTTAGATTTTCTAATTCTTCTACAGCTAATATGGAAAATTTGTTATGTAGTTCTTACTACAATTGCCCATTTGATCCAAATTTTCAAAATTATTAACATAGAGATTTTTCTGTATTTAATTTTGGGGGGAGTATTATATATAGTATTCTCTTAATAAGTTTGAAGCTCCATGTCTATATGGTTGTATTTGCTTTTGTTTTCCTAATGGTTTGCATTTTATTGTTTTAACTTTTCCTTTGTAGAGTTTTGTCTATTGGTCTTTCCAAAGAATTAGATTTTGGATTTGTTTATTGGTCATACTTTCTTTTTGCTTTTTCATTCACTGTATTTTATCAATCTATTAATCTAGTATGTGCTTTTTCTTTCTTTCTTTTTTTTTTTTAGAGACAGAGTCTCACTTTATCACCCTCAGTAAAGTGCTCTGGCATCACAGCTAATAGCAACCTCTAACTCTTGAGTTTAAGCAATTCTCTTGCCTCAGCCTCCCAAGTAGCTGGGACTACAGGCTCCAGCCACAATGCCTGGCTGTTTTTTGTTGCAGTTGTCATTGTTGCTTAGCAGGCCTGGTCAGGTTTGAACCCACCTGCCTTGGTGTATGTGGCTGGCACCCTAACCACTGAACGACAGGCACCGAGCCACCTTTGCTAGTTCTTTTCTTTCTTTCTTTTTTTTTTTAAGAGACAAAGTCTCACTTTATTGCCCTCTGTAAAGTGCTGTAGCATCATAGTGCACAGCAACCTCTAACTGCTGGGCTTAGGTGATTCTCTTGCCTTAGCCTCCCAAGTAGCTGGAACTATAGGTGCCTGCCACAACACCCGGCTATTTTTTTGTTGCAGTTTAGCTGGGGCTGGGTTCAAACCCACCACCCTCAGTATATGGGGCCAGCGCCCTACCCACTGAGCCATAGGCGCCAACCTAGTATGTGCTTTTTCTTCCACATTAGAACCCCACCGAAACTGGGATACATCTTTCAACTGATGATAAAGCATTGTGATATTGTTTAATTGGTAGCAATTTTTCCTAGTGATGCATAAAAAATGGTATATGCTATAATAGATGATATGTTAGATATGATGAATATGGAATTTCTGCTTTTTTCTTTTATAATTCTCTTGTTTTCTTAAAGTTATGTTATTTCTATTCTGGAGTTCATTTATATATACACACACACATACATATATACAATTCTTTTCATTTTAATATAGAAAACAGTTAAGGCTATAAATTTTTCTCTAATTGCTGCTTTTGTTATATCCTGCATGTTTAGATGTATAGTGTTCTCAATTTATCCCTTTAAATATACTATGTAGTTTTAATTTTTTTAACTCAAGTTTTTTGTTGAGATGGAGTAGTTTTTGCCTTACATATTTTGCAGGGTTTTTTTTTTTTCTGGCCAGGGCTGGGTTTGAACCCACCACCTCTGGCATATGGGTCAGCGCCCTATTCCTTGAGCTACAGGCAGCGCCCCTGCCTTACATATTTTGTATATAGACATTTGTAACAATTTTAGATTCACTGTGAAATATCTCAGGTAAAGTTGGTTCCATTTGTTATTTGCTTTTCCTGCCACGTCTATTTTCTTTTTTCATTTCATATTTATTTTATTTTGCACTCGCATCTTTTTATTTGCTGAGTGAAGGCATGTTTAAACTTGATCCATAATATTTCGCATACACACGTGATGTTCTGTCACAGGCACAGCATGTGTAATGATGAAGTGGGGGCATTCGAGGTATACGTCACCTCGGGTATTTATCATTTCTATGTTTGGGGAACATTTCAGGCCCTCTTTTCTTGCGACTCTGAACTATACAATACATTATTACCAAGTGCCATCACTCTACTCTGTTACCAAACGTTAGAAATTATACCTTCTATCTGACTGTATGTTTGTACCTACTGACTAACCTCTCTTCACTCTCCCCAGTCGCCTCACACGCACACCCTTCTCAGCCTCTGGTATTCATCATTCTGTTCTACTTTTTTGGCTCCCACATAGGAGTGAGAACATGTGATGTTTGCCTTTTTGTGCTGGCTTATTTCACTTAAAGTGATGACTTCCAGTTCCATCCATGTTGCTGCACATATTTCATGATTTCACTCTTTTTGTGGCCAAATACTATGTATTAATCTAAATGTGTATATATACTGCATTTTCTGTGTTCATTCTTCCATCGAAGGGCACGTAGAACACGAGTGTAGACATTCCTGTGAAGTACTGACTCCTGTTCCTTTGGATAAATACCCAGCAGTGGCATTGCTGAATTGTATGGTACTTTTATTTTTAGTTTTTTTGAGAAATTGCCATACTGTTTCCAAGGTGGCTGTACTAATATAGATTTCCATCAGGAGTATAAGAGTTCCCTTTTCTCTGCACTCTCAATGGCATTTGTTACTTTTTGTCTCTTTATTTTTTATTTTTTTGTAGAGACAAAGTCTCACTTTGTCGCCCTCAGTAGAGTGCTGTGGCATCACAGCTCATAGCAACCTCCAGCAGTTGGGCTTAGGCGATTCTCTTGCCTCAGCCTCCCGAGTAGCTGGGACTATAGGTGCCTGCTACAATGCCCGGCTATATTTTGTTGCAGTTTGGCCGGGGCTGGGTTTGAACCTGCCACCCTCAGTATATGGGGCTGGCACCCTACTCACTGAGCCACAGTCGCCGCCCCTTTTTATCTCTTTAATAAC